AAGTCTTGATATTTTTCTTCAGCCATTAATAGATGAGTTGAAAGATTTATGGTCTAACGGCGTTCAAGCATTCGATATTTCTACCAAACAAAACTTCTTATTAAAAGCTGTATTAATGTGGACGATAAGCGACTTCCCTGCTTATGGTATGCTTTCTGGATGGACAACTCATGGTCGGTTAGCTTGTCCTTATTGTATGGATGAGACAAATGCATTTCAGTTGAAGAATGGTAGAAAAACAAGTTGGTTTGATTGTCATCGGTGTTTTCTCCCACTAGATCATAGTTATCGGCGAAACAAGAAGAGCTTTAAAAGAGGAAGGGCTGAGACAGGTAGCCCCCCTCGGTTGCTAACAGGTGCAGAACTTTGGCAGGGACATGTCAACGGTATGCCCAAAACAGTTGATTGTGGAGGAAATCATGGGCGAATACAAGGATATGGTGATACTCACAACTGGCATAAGCAGAGCATTTTTTGGGAGTTACCTTACTGGAAATACCATAAACTTCGACACAATCTTGATGTAATGCACATCGAGAAAAACTTTTGGGATAATATCATCAATACCTTATTGAATGTGCAAGGGAAGACAAAAGATGATATTAAATCGCGGCTTGATTTGAAAGAGTATTGTAATCGGAAAGAGTTGCATTTAACATCTGATGGGAAGGCTCCAGTCCCAATTTTCAGATTACAAGCTGATGAGAAAAAGACCTTTTTACAGTGGCTGAAAGAAGATGTTAAGTTTTCAGATGGATATGCTTCAAGTATATCTGGGTGCGTTGATCTTACTGGAGGAAAGTTAACAGGAATGAAAAGTCATGACTGTCATGTTTTTATGCAACGGTTACTTCCAGTTGCATTTGCTGAACTTTTGGACAAGTCTGTACATGAAGCTCTATCCGGTAAGTATAGAACTATTTTGTTATATTTACGTACATGAAAATGAATTATAGTATTTCTGCGATTTTAAACCGACATTTCAGTAGTTCATTAGTCGAGCATACAGGCTTCAAGTTCGTTTTCTTGGGTTATACTATAGTTTTATCATTATTTTATGGTCAGATGTTTGTTTCAAAGGCAAGTTTTTGACTCTGTCACCTTCTTATTCCTTTCTAGTTCTATAATTAAACTGACGTTTTGTGAGTGAGAACATGCCGCCTTTTTAAAAAAAGTAAGAGAGGTAGAATTCAGATTCTCTTTTGGATATGATTAATTCTTTGTTTAATCTCCATGCAAAGCTAGATTTTATGTAAACTTTACGTTTTTAAGGCTCATGTTGTTTCTAAGTCTGTACTACCAATTATTAAATACAATGACAGTTAATTTTTTTTTTGCAGGTATTAGTTCATTTTTCCGAGATATTTGTGCAAGAACTTTACATAAAGACGAGGTTATGATATTGCATCAGAATATTGCTATGGTTCTCTGCAATCTTGAGAAGATATTTCCTCCTTCATTTTTTAATGTTATGGAGCATTTGCCAATTCATTTGCCACATGAAGCTCAACTCGGAGGATCCGTGCAGTTTAGATGGATGTATCCTTTCGAGCGTTATATGTACCATCTCAAGAAAAAGGTTAAAAATAAGGCTAAAGTAGAAGGTTCAATCGTTGAACAATACGTGAATGAGGAAATTTCCACATTTTGTTCTTATTATTTCGAGTCGCACATCAAAACAAAGGGTCGTACAGAAGCTCGACATTATGAAGGAGGTGATGATCAAAATACACACGAACTTGGTGATATTCCAGATATGTTTTCCCAACCTGGGAGAAGTAGTGGTAAAGCAAAGGATATATGGCTTCAAACAAAAGACTACCATCATGCACAGGGGCGAAGCCAGAGAGCAAATTCAATGGGTGCACAAAATAGATCAAATATGTTTATACGTAAAATACTACTTGTGACAGGGGTGCATCGAACTTCCGACCTGGGGATTTAGTGGGTGCATACGCTGCCAAATTAGCCAAATGATATAGCTGCTATATAAAACATGATAATTATTAAAACTTTATGGGTGCACGGGCACCCACAACCACCAACGTGGCTTCGCCCCTGATCATGCACATACATATGTTCTGCTAAATTGTGAACAATTAAGACCATTTGAAAGGTATGTAAGATCTACACTTGCTTTTCATTTGAACAAGAGTAATTTATTTTAAAAAAATTAGTCTTTCTAAAAAGGGATTCCTATGCAGGTTGTTTGATGAGATCATGATTGTTGATCATCCGGGTATAAGTGATGACGATCTAATCATGCTTAAAGAAAAAGAATTTGCAAGCTGGTTGCAAAAACATGTAAGAAATAAGTAGTCTTAAAATATTTAATTATGTTTAAATTTTATTTTAACAAAAAAAGTTTGTATTTGTTGGTGAAAACAGGTCGAGGATAATTGTGTTGCTAAATCATACCCGAAATGGTTGGAATCACTTGCTCATGGTCCAATGGTAAAAGTAACTTCATGGCCAATGTACTTTTCTCGAGGTTACATATTTCACACATATGATCATGGGAAAGAAAAAAAAACTGCTAACTATGGAGTTTGTGTGAAAGGTACATCATCTTGTGGATCAAGTGATGAACCTGATTTTTATGGAGTACTAAGAGAGATTTTAGAACTCCACTATCCTGGACATGTTGATCTGAAAGTTGTGGTTTTCTTTTGTGACTGGTATGACTCAACCAATGGAAGAGGTATCCGGAAAAACAAGTCAGGCATCCTTGATGTTAATGTTACAAAGCGCTATGGAAAATATGATCCTTTTATTTTGGCTTCACAAGCAGATCAAGTATGTTATGTTCCGTATCCGCGAGTAACTCGGAAAAGAGATCAACAATGGGAAGCAGCAATAGTGATACAACCAAGAGGAAAGATTTTGGTTAATGGGAACTTAGATTTTACTGCAATGCAGTCTGAAAATGATTCTCCAGTCATGAATGTTGAGTCTGTGCAAGTCGAGACGTTAACAAATCTACATGGCCAAGCAGAGTATCTTGATGATGTGAGTGATAATGATGAAACTGGATCAGATGATGAAGATGGAAATTCAGATATTGAAGTGACGGAAGAAGAGTCTGATTAAACTGGTCATTGTCTCTATTTTATTTTGATTTAAGACTTATGTTTCAGCATTTTATTTCGACTTAAACCTCTATTTCAACTTAATATTTTATTTTACGTTTCATTCTGTTTAAACAACGATTCTGGAACTGATCAACTCATCATTTAAAACTAATATCTTGCTAACGACTAGTTACTGAAACAACTTCTTTTGACTTTTAATATATTGCTTCCCTTCTTCTACATTCAGTGCTTGAATCTTCTTCCTTTTCTTCTTCTTTAGAGTTCTTTTTCTACTTATCACTGTCTTCACTTTCTTAATTTCAAAGCTTTAATCTAGGAATCAACTCATAACAAAGCATATGTCCAAAATCTCACACTGTTTAACAAAACCAGAGACTTAAAGGAAGTGATATACCCTCTTAAAGAAAGGACCACGAAAGGGACCTGAGCCCAAAGTTGAGGCAGAGCCAGGGGAGGTTGTGGCCGGGAATGTATCTTCTTCATCAAGAAGCCGAGCCGCAGCTGCAAAACTAACGAAGAGCGATATGACCAGAAAAAAGAGAATCATTTGACCTGCCATTGATAAAGAAAGATGATCAGAGATGCAATGTTGTTACAAATGAAATGTTTGTGATGATAGAATCTGATTCTAGAAGAGTATATATACAGACATGAGTGAATATGGCAAATAAGATTGTTAATAGAAGAAAATGGAGTTGATGAAATGGAGCAGGTGATATAGCTTCTGTTTTGTGGCTTAAAAGAATTTAACATTCAACTCCTGGACAGCCATTATAATTCTTCATGCCTAGCTATATACTTTGATAAGCTGTTGTTTGAGACATTGGTAGTAATTACAGTCAAGGCTTTATGCTTCATAAACTTGTTTGAGCTGCTCTCAAGTAATAGTTTTCTTTCTTGTATCTTTGCTCCCAATCAGACACCGAATTGATGTATTTTTGTTCGTGATGACCGGAGTTGACTTGTCGAACTTGTTTTCTTTTTATAAGAATCATCAGTTCTGAAGCCTCTTTCCATATTTTATCATATCTAAGTAGCTTTTGATATATAGAGTTATATAAACGAAACTTATGTATTTAAGTGTATGGGGTGGTTCTTCTTTTTTTCGACTAAAAAGATTTTATTGATTATTGTCATTACAAACTTGCTTTTTTGGCTAATAGATCAGCAGTGCCATTATGTTGGTGATTTACATGAACAAAAGCTATTGAAAGAAAACTTGTCTTCCAAGAAAAAAACTGAGGAAACACATGTCCTTTTCAAAAAAATATTTGTTACCTTTCTTCATTATCTATAATTTATTTAAGCTACATGTTTTTATTATTTCCATAAACTATTTTTTTTTCTTTTAAAATAACCACAAGTTTTAAAATAAAAAAAAAAATGTTACTTTTGTCATTATCTATAGTTTATCTAAGCTTCATATTTTTCTTTTCAATTAACTAAATATTCTTTTTTGTTAAAATAACCACACGTCTTAAAATTAGATAGTGGGTTTCTAAAATTTTTAATCAAGCCGCCTTAAATTTTGTTAGTGGAGGCATAAAATTTTCGATATACCGCTCTAAGTGTTGCCAAAACTTTCACGAACCCATTAAAACCCCCAAAAAGATCAACTTTCTAGATATGTCTTTTATTTGTTGCTCTCTCGGGCTCTCAGTCGTCTTCTTTATTCCGACGGTTTGTTTGTCCTCCAGTTAAAAAGGTAATTTCTACTTGATTGTGGATTTGGAGTTGAATTCTTAAAACTGTATCAAAGTTTTGTATCATGATTTTGCGAACCTTAACGTAATTGTTTGTATTCATCAACACGCTTTCGTAATGAAACTCACATAATATGGTCTTAGCTTTATTTTAATTCTGAGTAACTTACATTCATGTATCTTATTTGATCAGTTGTTTTCCTAGATGGCTTCACCAATAATAGGTGGGCGCTCCTATGGGAGATCATTCAATCATCGATTTGGTAGTTCACAAGAACCCCCTTCCCCTGCTCTCTCGCCTACACATGTTGCAAATTCTGAACCAAGTGTACATATGGAAGATGCATATGTAGTTCGTACATCTTTGCCCATGCTCCATCATTCTCGACAGAATGGATCTAAATGGTACTGTCCAATTACCATTTGTCTCAAACTTATAATTCATTACTAAATTTATTTCAATGGAACAGGTTTAAACACAACACAGAAGTGTCAACTGCAATCAGAAAGATCATTCAAGGTTGTTTTAAAGGACCATGGTACTCTTGGAAAAAGGTGCCGCCTTATTATAAACGAACATGGTTTTCAATGTTTAAGGTATGTTTTATTTTATGTTTCTTATCTAATATTGTAATGGTTTTATAGTTCATTGATCGTGTTTGCTATACTTGTTTTTTCAGAAAAAGTTCAATTGGGATGCTCGGATCAACTATTCAGTTGAAAAGGAGTTTAATAAACTTGCTGCCTATCGCCTCAAAGGAATGGTAAGTGTTGCAAAGAAAGGAGGAGTAAAACCTGACTGGATTTTGTCTGACTATTGGACCATTATGCAAGCTTATTGGGCAACACCGAAAGCCAAGAAAACGAGTGCTAGTGCACGTGCTTCTCGTTTGTCTGATCGCAATGGTTTAGGTCCGCATCGGCATAGAGCGGGTTCATGTTCCTATGCCAAAGTTCAAGATGTGCTGGTAAGGTTTATATTTCCATTCTGAGTTTCTGATCACTTGTATTATTTATTTTTTAATTTTGTAACTGTTTATAGGAAGCAAACAACGAAGACTACTCTTTTATTGCTGTGATGAAGAAAACTCATCAAAGACCTGACGGAACATACGTTGATGAGCGTGCTCGCTTGGTTGCAGAAACTTATGAGAAGCACGTGGAAGAACGTTTGGGACAGCTCGAATCTTCTGGTCTAGATAATGTAACACTTGAGAATCTTAACCAGTGTGAAAAAAATGAAATTTATGTCAAGGTAATATTCTAAACTCTTATACTGTTATAATTTTCAATCATGTTTTGTGATGTTTATTAATACTACTGGCATATGATTATAAGATATTGTCAAAATAGTCACTGTTGTTGTGGCTTGTTACTTTTTTACTAACTACACATGCATTTCTTGTGATGTTTATGGTGGTAAATACTATGCTTATTTATTGTAGTTGCATTTTTTGTAGTGCTTTTGTTTCTGTTCTCATGTTTTGTCATTTCTATTAGGCTGCTGGAATGTCTAAACAGGGACGTGTCTTTGGACTTGGAGCATTACACAGTAAGATTTTACCAGCTTGTGATGTTTCGTCGAATGCACCCGAAGCTTCTGAAGAAGTTGAAATGATAACACAGAGATTACAAGAGGTGGAAGCAGAACTAAAACAGAGCCGTGAAGAGAATCTGCAGTTTCAGAAGAGACTTGAGAATATGGAGACTCTTGTTCAGTCTATCACAAGTCTAAGTGTCTAGACTTGGATCCACCACCAGAAATTTCCACTTTCCATGAAGCGTACGTTCACCCCATGTTTTTAATATGTTTTATTATGTATTTTGTTAAGACTATTTCATGTGATTATCTTTGTGCACCTATCTTTGTTATTTGATTTGTATGTTAAGTTTTATTTGGTATATTAATGGTAACGTTTTTAGTGTTTCATCGTATATTATATATAATATTTATATATTTAAAACTGATGTTGTAATTACAATATGTGACTGGTTTGCCACTTTCTTTTCACTCTGTTAGTCATGATATGTTGCAAGATTAGTAACAACAAAACGTCACAAGTTAAAGGAGTTTGTGACAATCTCATTACCATCTTTCCGTAACTAACTGTGACGAATAAGCGACATAACTTTGGACATAATATGTAACTAATGGGTGACATATATTGGGTAGCAACTTGTGACGAATCTGTGGCTTAACTTTGGTCACGGTTTACAACGTATTTATGACAATTTAAGTCGTGACAAATTGTGTCGTTTTTGTGACTTTGAAATTTTGTCACAATTGGTGACAAATTTGTTACTGCGGTTAATGGTCACTAAAATTGTGACGATTTTGACACGTAAACTGAATTGTGACCATTTTATTGTGACTTTTTATAATTTGTCACACATTGGTCACAATAGAAAATTTGTGACGGAAAAAGAATATATTGTGACAAATATTGTGGTAACAATACTCCTATTTTCTTGTAGTGAAGGACCTGCAACTGATGTCAGTGAAAACTCTTTTAATAAGGTATGAATTAACATTATCTATCTATAGCTATCGATTACAATTGTATATATGAATTCGTTTGACATTGCTTGTACATTCTGTAGAGTGTAAATAATACCAGATCACTTCCCAAGTGTTATCTGGTTGACTGGGGTTCTCCCGATGAGAAAGTTGCTGAG